ATAAAATATTTTGATGCTCTTCAGTACTTGAGGTCCATGCTAATCAAAACCAAACGGTTTGACATGATTATTCTTGCTCTGAGAAAAAGGAAGACCATTTGCTCTTCTTTATAGTGGAGCATGTTGGAGGGATCTAACTGAAATAACTTCTAACTGGATTATTCCTGATGACATTTATAAGGGTGACTATGAGGACACAGAAGGCTAAGACAGGCTCAGGGTGTGGAGGGGCTGCCTGCCATAAGCGAGTATAGAATTGCATGGGGATATTAGATAAATAAAATAAATAAAACCAGTGTTTGTGCTCCAAAGACCTCTACTCAGAAAACTACAAGACACTGGAAAAAAGAAATAGAGGAAAATACAAGCAAATGGAAGAATATACTGTGTTTATGAATTGGTAGAATTAACATCATTAAAATGTCCATACTACCCAAAGCAATCTATAGTTCAATGCAATCTATACTAATAAAAGAAAGATGCAAATCGACCATACCTTTGTGATACCTACCATCCAGTCAGGAGTGAGTATGCAAATCAACCCAAAAGATGGCGGGTTAATTTGCATACATAGGCCCAAAGCAGCCGGGAGCGGGAAGGTGGAAAGGCAGCTCCAGCCGGAGCAAAGGCGGTGTTGGCAGCCAGGGGAAGGAAGGCCCATTCTTGCATGAATCTTTGTGCATTGGGCCTCTTGTCTCTAATAAAATACCAAAAACATATTTTACTATGCTGTACACCTAAAACTAATATAATATTGCATGTCACCTATACTTTAGTTAAAAAGGTCCTTATACTCCAGAATTAAAATTAGACATGAAAACAAAAAAATAAGGTGTTTGTGACTTAGCTCCTTAGACTCATTAGTTACATATTCTTTTACATTGGACTGATTCATCATGAATGGAACTCTTCATGATGATTTTTCCCTCCCACCTTCCTTGATATTACATAAGGTTTCCTTCATATTTTTACTTGCGAAGTTGTTTTGGAATTGTCCCCTCACTGGATCATGTATTCATTAGTAGAGTCTAAATGCCACAAGGGAATGGGTGGTGCCCACCTTCTCTGACATCCCCCTTAGAAAGTTGTCCTCAGGGCAACATTATACAAGCCAATCCATCTGGATCTAGTCTTTGAACCAATTTAGTAAAGCAACAAGAAACCAATGAGAAATGTATTTTCATTACCATCAAGCAAATGTTTGAAATGATGGTGCCCACATATAAAAATGCTTTAAAATGGCAGGTTAAAAGATGGTCATCAGGAAGGTTTGGTAGATTTCCCATTGCTTAGTGTGTCACTCTGTTTTGTTGAGGAATAAAATTATAAATTATTCATTTGTTACTACTCCCTTTCTCTGCATTGTCTTGGTTTAATGCATGTGGAACTTACGTAAGGGAGATATTTGTGGGCTAGGCTCTGACTCATCCAGACTAGTGCTTTCTTCTCTTTTGCTCCCCATCCTCTTCTATTTAATTACTAGGGACTGAGGTAACTTTAATTAGCAATGCAGCATTTCCCAGACCTCACTTTTGGGATTTATATATCTTTCCCCACCCCCATGGAGAATGCATCTCAATTGACAATCTCCAAAATTGGGAATGACCAAATAATGCATGTTCTCTTATGTTAAAAAAAAATGTGAAACCTGCTTGAAAAATTAATATGCTAATCAGAGGTAACTTATCAAAATGCCTTCTTCACTGCACCATTGTCTCCTTCTACCATGACTCATGGGGTGTAGACTACAGTTTTTCTTCATTTATCTCCCATGGGGATGACAATCAATATTTGATTTAGAAAACTGTTTTACAAATGTTTGCTTTAAAAAATTGCTCAGTGTTTCAGGAGGTCTTTCTGGACGGTGTCGCTAGTGTTCTTCTAGCTGAGTAATCTTTTTTTCTTACTAACTTGTATCAGTAAATTTATTCACACAAAAAAGAAACATTACCCTCGTGTAATAAACATTCCTGAAAACAGCAGCCTTCTCTAGAGCATTATTCTATTTTCAGGGTTGCTGACCTTTTGCTTCCTTATTGGTTGCCATAGTGACGATCTGAGCAATGCATTTATTCAAATGAGGAAATCAATAAGCTTTTTAACTGTAATGTTTATATTGATAGTTCCTAATAACAATATCAAAATAAAATTTACCCATGTAAATGTATCCAATAGTAGAATTCTATTTAAAAAATGTAAGTGTTTAAATAGATGTTTATGTGAATTGCAAGTGATCAAGTGTATTCTGTGGCTTTCTTAGAATACTTTTGTGAGCACATAAAAATATAGATAAAACTTGAAATGTAAATTTGAAAGATCCATGTGAAATGCTTAATAATGCTTTCATAAGTAAACTTCAGAAATTGCAAGTGCCATAGTTAATGATTTTAACGCAAAGTCAAGTTAGAAAACACTTACACTCGGTCATAGGAACACTTAAGGCCAAACTCTTCCTGTATGAGCCTGTGCAACTTCTAATGATTTCACAGGAATCCTGAAACACTCAGGAGAAGGCAAGTTGTTGATCTGCCAAAATGCAGGAGGCAAAGTGGAAGAGCATGAGTTATGTTTGTTTCCAAAGTTCACTTAACAGCTTTAAATCTTTTACTCATTGGTTGTAGTCAGACTACTATTTTTAGGATAATTATGAAACATCTATGAACACAATTTTGAGGCTTTTTATTATTTTTCCTTTAGAATTAAGTAATAATTGTTTTCAAATTATATTAATATATTCTGGTTGCAATGGTAAATAAAAAGTAATTACATTTAACATAACTTATGGTTGTCAGTTGCAAAGAAGAAAATCTGAGGAGTGACTTAATTCACAAGATCCATTATCACCGCAATTTGACTAGACTGTGAGGTGCAGGTGTTATGCTATTAATTCGATGCCTCGTGTCTAACTAACCCTCGCACTGGCCTTTGCAGAGCAAACTGGAGGGGTGCTGGGAGAGGGTGCAGTTTGCTCAAGGCACAATAGCCACATACAACCTGCTTCTCTCTTTCCAAAGCCTGCATTTTTTTTCTTCTCCTTGATGTTCGAGAATCTAAAATTAGGTTAAGACTCCAGAACTATGTATCCCTATTCTATTAAATATACCCTAAGGTTTATTGAAAACAAAAATCAACATCCCCTGCTGCTAGGACTAGAGGATAAAATTAAATTGATGCTGAGGCTGTCTGCAGTTTGTGGAAAAAACAAACTACGTGCTTATTTCAAGTGTCAAAATAACTTCTTTGAAAAACACAGGCAATATCTGACATCATAGATTTTTCATGTATCACTGTTTTTTTTTATAAATTAAAAAGATTTCTTAGATATAGGATGAACTTTAAAAAAATTGGCTACATGTATTTTAAAATTAAAGTTTAATTATATCCCCCGATGTTATGTGGTTTCAGCTATCGTATTTATTTTTCTGCAATGAAAAACTCGTATCCTTTACTTAACAAAAGCACTAAACTAGTAAAACTTTTAGTGACTCTGCTATTCAAGATCTAGTTATTGACCATCTGCCTCTGTAAACAGGGGGCATCGTTGAGAACAAAGCAGGCAAAGTTCTTCCTTCCATGAAGCGCATGCTCTGTGGAGGAAATCAGATAATAGATAAATGAATCTATGATGTGCCAGGTGGCAGTAAGATCCAGGAATTAAAATAAAACAGGAAAAGGGAGTAGAGAGTGAATGGGGAATGAGAAGGAAGGACTATTTTAGATAGGGTTGTCAGCCAAGACCATCATTTCCTGCCAGGATTATTTCATTAGGTTTCTAATTTGTCTCTTCTTGTGCTCCTAGTGACTTCACATAGCTGCCACACAGAATATTAAGTTGGATCATATTTCACTTGCCTGCTCAAAATCCTGCAAGAGCTTCTACTTAGAATCCAATTCCCAGTCCTGTTAGCCCGTAAGACCCCCCATGCCCTTCCTCTCTTTTTCTTTCCTGGCCCCATTTCTTTCTATCTGATCTACCTCGCTCCAGGCCTAAGTTGTCCTGAACACACCAGTAGGTCTCTATCTCAGAGCACCTTACTCCTGCTGTCCCTCTGACGGAACACACTTCCCTGAGACACCACCCGTGCTGGCTCCCTGACACCTGCCAGAGCAGCCTTCCAGGACCACTCTATCTAAAGTAGCATTGGCCATCACTCTGTCTCTTTCTTCTACTTCCTCTTTCTTCATAGCACTTATCTCCTCTTGCTGGATGTGAGGAACATAAGTGTCACAAGAGCAAGGATTTAGTCTCTCTCACCAACATATCTCTACACTTGGATTGGTGGCAACATATTATTGCAGGAGCTCAGTAATCACTTGAATGAATCTGAATGAATGTGTTCTAAGAATGGACTGCTGAAAAATGGAGAGAAAATAGGAGAAACATGTCAAATGCTTAGCGATTTTAAAAAGGAGCCTGGCCCAGGTAGGTTTGGCTCAGGGGATAGAGTGTTGGCTTGTGGACTGAAGGGTCCCAGGATATCTCTGATGAAGGGCACATACCTCAATCCCTGGCCCTAGTTGGGGCATGTGTATGAGTCCACAAATCAATATGTTTCTCTCACCTTGATGTTTCTCTCTCTCTTCTACTCTCTGAAAAATCAGTGGAAAACAGCCTTGGGTGAGGATTAACATAGATAAATAATAAATAAAGGAAGGAAGGAAGGAAGGAAGGAAGGAAGGAAGGAAGGAAGGAAGGAAGGAAGGAAGGAAGGAAGAAAGGAAGGGAAGAAGGAAGGAAGGAAAACAGGGTCCCCTGTGTGAGTGCTTTTCTTGGTCCTAATTCTGTCTCCATTGGCACCTGGCATAGCCATTCCTAGCTGCAGCTTAACCTCAGGCTCCTTTCCCATCTTTATTTACAGCACTCTGAGCCTTTGCCAACTGTCATCAGTGTACCCTGTGTAGAAGCCCATTATAGATGTGAAATGTTGGTGATCACATTTCCAATTTCTAAAATATGTTAAATGGGTTGATTGATGGTCATGTTTTTTTTCAAACTACAGCCTCACCAAATGCCCGCAAACTTGGACCCATGGAGCTGACCGTTGTTATTACTGTGCCAGTGTGCCTTCTGTCCCTGGTGGCAGTGCTGAGCATCTGGGCATGCCAAGGTCGACAGTGCAGCAACAGGAAGAAAAAGAGGCAGAATGTGGAGGAGCCCCTCTCTGAATGCAACCTGGTAAATGCTGGGAAAACTCTGAAAGATCTGATTTACGATGTGACTGCCTCTGGATCCGGATCTGGTATGTGCCCATAGTCCATGTTTTAAGTAAGGAAACTCTTATTTAAATACTAGAGGCCTGGTACACAGATTTGTGCACTGGTGGGGTCCCTCAGCCTGGCCTGCACTCTTGCAGTTCAGGACTCCTTGGGGGATGTTGGACTGCCATTTTCGGCCCCCGACCCCCGCAGGTGGAAAGTGGCAATCCAACATCCCCCAAGGGATATAATAGTACAAAGAGCATCAGGCGGCAGGGGAGGAGCCTGAGCATGGGCCAGGTGCTGCATCACACCCGCTCATCCGGGCCCTCTGCACCTGCTGCCGCCATTGGTAGCACTGTCACACAGGTGGGAGAGCCTCACAGCTGCCACAACTGCACTGGCCAGGCATGAGTCCAGCATCTGGCACCTGTCCGGTCAGCTGAGTGGTGCTCCCTCTTGGGAGCACACTGACCAGGGGGCAGCTCCTGTGTTGAGTGTCTGGCCCCTGGTGGTCAGTGTGCATCATAGCTACCAGTCAACCTGCCGTTCAGTCGTTTGGTCACAGGCTATTATATATATAGATAAATAAAAACAGCTCTAGACAGGTGGCTCAGTTGGTTGGATCATTGTCCAATACTAGTACACCAAAACGTTGTAGGTTTGATCCTCAGCCAGGGTGTGTATGGGAGGCAACTGATAAATGTTCCTCTCCCTTCTTCTCTCTCTAAAATAAATAAAAACATATTCCTGAGTGAGGATTAAAAAGTAAAGAAAGCAGTAAAAACCATTTTTTTTAACAAAAAAGGGCCTCGATATGAATTCTTTCCTTTTAAGTGCTTGATCTGGTACATGCTAAGTTCTGACATAAAAGTTTATTTTAGGATTAAAAAGAATAGAAAAAACCATCATGGCCTAAAGAATTAAGTCCTTTCTGTTGGCTTTTGAGCCTTTAGGTATTCAGATTCGTACTCTGACAGTCCTTCAGAATTCCTGAAGCATGAAAGAGTCTCTCTGCTCTCTCCTCTCCATTATGATCAGAAAGAAAAAGTGTTGCTCTCCTGGTAATGGTTCCCATGCACAAAGGAGTTACTGTATCTGAGGAGCTGAGTTCTGAGCGAGAGAACTCAGTTATGCAAAGTAATGTACTTGGAGCACCTTCCCTTGTGGTTTTGAAGGTCTTCCGAATCTGTAGGTGCCCCTGGGATGTGTGGGTGAAGTTCCCAGAGAGCTGACCTGAAATTAAAATCAAGAATATGTTCTTAAAGCACAGAAATGAAAGATGAAAGGGAAGAGCAGAGCACTGGTGTGCTGGCTTTTGCTGCGGAGGCTGTGTGATTATTCTCTTCCTCTTCCATGGAACTCCAGGACATTCTGACACAACTTGGGGACAGGGCTGTGTTCTGGCCTCAATGAGCCTTTCTCGTAGCACAAAGCGTCTGTGGGTTTCTGGTGACAGAGCAGAGTTTCTCCTGTGATAACCAACTCCCTAAGGGGCAGCAGGCTCCCTGCTCTCACGTACCCGTCCAGAAATCCTGTCAGCATGCGGTGCTGCTGGAATGTGGACTAGGCCGAGGCTAGGTGAGCCACGTCAGATGCCCCTGCACCCCCCTCCCCTTGCTTTGGGAGGATTATTAAGGATGATGACCCCAAACAGATTTCAAGGAGCACACAGACAGGCACAGTTAACAGGGGTTAACAACACAGGGGCGCGAGCATCTGTATGAGCATCATATGTAATATGATATAGCTATGGTCTCAGCACAGAGTCCAGAAAAGAGAGGCCCGATTGTATGACCCAGGGAGCCCAGGTAGTTGGCTGCTTCTGGGGCAAGACTGCCTGCTCTCTCACTGACCAACATCTCAGCACTGACACCCTCACTGCCCAAATTAGGTGGCGTATGTCCAGGGGAGGAGCGTTGGCAAAGTGTCTCCAAACTACAAAGTTTATCAAATGAAATCCAAATTACGTTATTGGCTAGAAAGATGGTATTCTTTCTTTAAAACTAAAACATGTTCCGTTCACTAATTTTTTTCTTCCTTGAGTATTGCGTTTTGGGGCCCGTTATGCCCTCACATTTTGAGCACTGGCAACAATGTAGGCACAGAATAAGTGCACAGAGAGCTCTCACTGGTGCCAAGTTCCTTGAAACCTTAAATAATTTCTTCAGGAGGTTCAAGTGATTAAAAAGCCATCTACTTAATTACCACCCAGACATTTCAGCTCACCCGTGTTAGGTTGAAATGTGTATTTTGGAGCGACTCTTTGAATATGTTTAATATGACCAAGGATTTTCCTTTCTAATAAATGTCCTAGAGATTTTATAACTGGAGACTATATATTTAATTTAACAAAGCAGCCATGAGCCAGGACATAAAATGAAAAATTCACATTATGGTTTTTTTGTTTTTGTTTTGTTTTGTGTTTTTTTTTTTTTTTTTTTTTTTTTTTTTTTTTGCTCTTTCCCCGTGTCTTTAAACCCTAGTCTGGATTTATTGACTGCTGAACTCTCCTCTTTAGGTTATCCTAAAAAGAAAGCTGTAAATATACCCATGCATGGGTGACTTTTGTAATGCACAATTCAAAAGAGCTTTAGGCACTTTCCCCCTAAGCCAGCTGCATATATGTCCTTGGCAGTGGCCGCTGCCTTTCATAAGCAGAGCTGGTTTGTCTACAGCAAGGCTTCTGCCACAAAAGCTCCCCTCCCACTCCCTGCAGAGGGGATGGGCGGTTCTGCTTCTCTTAATTGTCTGGTGTCCTTAAACGAGAGGCCGCTTTGTCAAATGTTGAGAAACAAAAAATTGTGAAGCTTATCCTTGACCTGGCCAGGGACCGATTTCAAAGAGATGTAATGCCCACCAGAGAGGAACACGGACTGCCGTGTTCCTGGGCTGTCTTTGAGAGTGGACATGTCTCAGTGGATTCTAGGAGACTGGATAGGTCTCTGCTTTGCTCTCATCATAGAGCACTTTTGACGGACAGTGACAGGAAGTTGCCATTCCATCGGACAGGTATCCATTTCTACAAAGGCCATGAAAAAGAATAAAATGAACCAGGAGGAGAAGCAACGTCCATGTATCTTCAAATTAAGTCTCTAAGTGTATAACCCAAGAATTATGTAGGTTATCTTGGGGGGCTGCTTTGAATGATACCGAGGCAACTTTCATTGAGTTTTACAGTCTCAACTTGATTGCTGTGCTGAGTACCGTAGGCCACATCTTACTTTGTGCCTGGTGTGTGGCACTGAGGGGTGCTTGATCAGTTTTCAGTTTGAAAACATTGGCTTATCTAGCCAAATATTGTTGCGTTTTTGTTGGTAACGATTGTTGGTGGTAATGTTTTTGTGAGTGTGTGGGTGCGTGTCGGGGAAGGAGGAGAGAGACTGAGGTTGAGATTTGGCTTAATCATTGTTAGTACAACTTTTATTGTGTGCGGTCAAGTGGTAAAACTCACTGTAGCCTACAAAAATAGCCTGAATCGTTTGCTGCTGGAAATCTCCCCAGCAGAGGAGAAATGCATCCTATTCACCAAATGGTGAGAGAGCAAGAGTCTGGACAGAAGACCGGCATTTTAGTTGTAGATCTGCCTCCCCACTAGCAGCTTATTCCTGGGCCACTTTGTGATGATTGCGGTCCCCAATTTTCTCTCCCCTAAAATGACTAAGTTGCACCAGATTCTCTGAGAAGAACTTTATGGCTGTGGGCAGTGACTAATTGTTGAGACCGTGATAGCAAACCTACAGTCTGTGCTCATTTAGCCATGGTGGGTGGTTCTCATGGGGATGAGAACATGTGAATGCACCTTGGTTCATCTCAGGGGCAGCGGTGAGTCCTCCAGAGCTTACACAGTTGTTGCTCTGAGGGTTTCCCTGCTAACAAGTACAGTGACAACAACTACACATGACTTTCCAGATTACATTGTACTGTGATCTCTTTGTCTGTTTTCCTCTATTATAAGAGTCATACACCCACTATAGCAATTAAGAAAATGTATAATATTTTACATTATACCCAGTTCACTTTGATGCCACTAAATAGAAGTAGCATTTAGTATATTTCCTATTTCAGTCTTTTCTCTGTGCATATTTTGAATAGCGAGGTACACTTAAGTGGAAGGAATTTACTGTGCTATTTTGTTTAACACAGCAAAAGCATTGAACCAAATCATTAGGACATACCTCTACATAAGCAGCATCATTATTATTGGTTCTCAGTAATTGACCTAAGACATTAAGGACTAACTATTATTGAGTGTGTAATATGCTAGATACTGTGCTAAGAGCTTAACATGCTTGCTAATGCTCACAGTATACCTACGAGATAAGGGAAACTATTATCTCCTACTTTTCAGACAAAGAAGCCAAAGCTTAGAGAAGTTCAATAACTTTGCCTGTGGTTACCATGTGGCACAACTGAAATGTGAAACCAGGTTTTTCTTATTTGTGCTCCTAATCTCTGCACTATCTATGATAATAAAAGCATAATATGCTAATTAGACCGTACAGCCAAATGACCTACCGGGCGGGCGTCATTATGGATGTCCTTCCAGACAAAGCCACTGTGGTGGGGGCTGAGACAGAGGTGGTTAAAGGCAATCAGGTAGTCAGGTGAGCAGTTAGGGGTGATCAGGGAGGCAGGCAGAGTGGTAAGGGGAGATAAGACAGGCAGGCAGGTGAGCTGTTAGGAGCCAGTGGTCCTAGATTGCAAGAGGGTGCAGACCGGGCTGAGGGGACACACCATGCACAAATTTCATGCATCAGACCTCTAGTATTTAATAATTTTCTATTATCAGATATCTTTCCTTATTTTTTTCTATAAATAATAATATATTAAACAATTTAACAGAATTTTTGCAATTATATTGAATCTTTAGGATAGAATTATAGAGATAGAATTATTGATTCAACGAATCTAAATATTTTGCATGCACTTTGAATATATCTTCTTTGATGTTTTTTATTCTGCAGAAAATATCCATTTGATATTTTCTATTATTACATCTTTTATTTTGTTTAATTTTTATTTTTTAAATATATTTTATTGATTTTTTACAGAGAGGAAGAGAGAGGGATAGAGAGTTATTGATAGAAACATCGATGAGAGAGAAACATTGATCAGCTGCCTCTTGCACACCCCCTACTGGGCATGTGCCCACAACCAAGGTACGTGCCCTTGACCGGAATCGAACCCGGAACCTTTCAGTCTGCAGGCCAACGCTCTATCCACTGAGCCAAACCGGTTTCGGCTTTTGCATCTTGCTTTTAGATAACATGATTATCTTACTTGATTGTTGAATTTGATTATTCACTTTCCAATTTTAATTTGGTTTAAAAAAATTCTCAAAGAATTCTTCTGCATTCCCAGTTGTACTAGGAGCCAATATATTTTATTTTAAAGGCTAACAGCATTTCTTATACTTTTGTGTACTTAGTAATCTGACTGGCTTTAATGTACAAATCAGGGAATTCGGCAGCAATTCTAGAAAGTTCAGCCATATGCAGCAGCAGGCTATGTCCCAGTAATTTGTATTTATGAGTATGAGAAGAGAATTTGGAATATTTTTTGAGCATGCTTTGACATTAAAGTTTTGGTATAAAGGTGTATATTTCTTCAACATCAGTAAAATTATTAAAATGCTTAAATGTTCCCCTTTTTATGGGAAAATACCGGTCATTCTGACAGTTCTTTCCTGGCACTTACTTTTCTTCACCATCCATCCCATCTTTTCTTCGGTTAGGGTTACCTCTGCTGGTTCAGAGAACAATTGCCAGGACGATTATCCTCCAGGAGATTGTAGGAAAAGGCCGATTTGGTGAGGTCTGGCATGGAAGATGGTGTGGGGAAGACGTGGCTGTGAAAATATTCTCCTCCAGAGATGAAAGATCCTGGTTTCGCGAGGCAGAAATTTACCAGACGGTGATGCTGAGACACGAGAATGTCCTTGGTTTCATTGCTGCTGACAACAAAGGTATTTTCAATCTAATTGGTTTCAGCAAAGAAAGGCTTATGTCTATTATCAGATAAGAATAAATAGTCTTTTTATTTTAATAATGTCTACATAAAATTCTAATTTCTTTATTGAGAAAAGTCTTTTGTCTTCTCCATAGATACACGTGTGTAACCATCCAATAAAGCAGGGCAAAGGGCAAACCTGTCATAGAAATGATAACGACACTGTAGGCAGGCTGACATTTTAAATATTTGATAACTGGTGAACCTCCCTATCAGATCAGAAATTTCAACCAGAACAGACGCTGGAAGAATGCTGCCATGCTGGTTTTTTATCCCGGTGGTTGGTGGAGCATGAGGACATCTGGAGGCATCTTGGTGAGGGTAGGGGATGGGGTGGGAGTGTCCAGGGAAAAGGAATGTCACTGGGAGTTTTCGGTAGTAGCTCTTAACTATCCAGGACAGAAATACCTCTGTAAAGGTATTTTGATAATTGATATAAATATATCAATAAATGCTAATTGAATATTCACCTTTGCTAGAACTATAGTTTTTTTTTTCTGTGCAATAAACTTAAACTCCAAGATGCAAGTTTTCTGTGACCATTATGGGAATGGCGGCAAGCAAGACAATCTTAGTGAAATTTTCTATCACTGTACTTTATGATTTATATCTTGACGTTTAACATTATTACTTTTTGAGTTTTGTGGAACAAAACAGAGCATCAACTTTCTGGTATTTAAATAATATTTATAAAATATTGTATATATATATCCCTGAGCAGTCAGGGACTGGATAGAAAGATTGTGGATTACCTATACTCTCTTTTCTCTTTTTGCATAGCTTTTATTCGTTTAAATGTGCATTAGTTTTCTTAAAAGGGAACAGGGAGCAAAGGTGAGTGTATCTCCGGTCTATTGGTTTTTATTCAAATCAGTAATCCATAAAGAACTTTGGGAGGTAGAAATTGTAACCTCTAGCTAAAAAAAAAAAAAAAAAACACACACAAAAAACCCCCCACAAATACCTACCAATACCTACAAAAATTAAAAATCTATGATTATTTTTATATAGTACAAGAGCCCCAATGCATGGATCTTTATACTGATGGGGTTTCTCAGTCTGGCCTGCACCCTCTTGCAATCCAAGACCCTCAGGGGATGTCAGCTGGCCTGCGGGGAGTGGGCCAAAAACAGCAGTCCGACATCCCCTGAGAGATGTAGTAGTGCGTGAAGCAGCAGGCAGCCAGGGAGGAGCCCAAGCCTGGGCTGGGCGCTGCACCACTCCCACTCATCCTGGCCCTGCTGCACCTGCCACTGCCACTTGGTAGCACTGCTGCAGAGGTGGGAGAAGCTCACGCTGCCACAGCTGCTCTTGCCAGCTGTGAACCTGACGTCTGGTGCCCCTTGGTCAGCTGAGCACATTGACCACCAAGGGGCAGCTCCTGCAGTGAGTGTCTGCCCCCTGGTGGTCAGTATGCATCATAGTGACTGGTCATTCAGTCAGTTGTTTAGTAGCTTAGGCTTTTATATATATAGATAATTGGGATCATGAAAGTATTCATTATTAATTACATGGCAAAAGAGAAACTTAGGGTTATTATACATTTTGGCCATGATTACATTTGCTGATGAATTGTATTATCTGATTTGCTAGAGAAAAACAGTGTAAAGCCGAGATGAACTTTAAAGAAAGATTCTTCTAGGAAACTTATATGCATATTAGAGGCCTGATGCATGAAATTCATGCAAGGGGCTTGGCCCTCACAGCTGTGGTGGCTTACCTTGGCTCTCACAGCCCTGGCTTCATCCAGAATGTCATCCGGAAGGACATCCGTAATGTCATTCGGCTGTCCAGTCTAATTAGCATATTATGCTTTTATTATAGCCCCTGGGCACAGACAATAATGTGGTGAAGGCCTGGGAAGGGTTGGTGCCAGGTAGAGTGGGTCAGTGGGAAAAAACAAATAAACAAAGGGAACATCTGTAATACTATCCTATATAATAAAAGCCTAATATGCTAAGTGTCCCATGGTCCAGTTGGCTGTTCAACCAATCAAAGTGTAATATGCTAATGATGTGCTAAGCCTGCTCAACTGTTCACTATGATGTGCACTGACCACCAAGAGGGCAGACAGTTGACCAGTTACTATGACGTGTACTTGACCACCAGGAGGCAGATGCTCCAACCGATAGGTTAGCTTGCTGCTGGAGTCTGGCCCTGGAGCTCTCCTGTAGTCCCTCCCAGCTGGCCAGCTTCCCACATCCCTCCCTGACCCTGATCAGGCACTGGTGGGGTCCCTTGCCCTGGCCTTTGCCCTCTGGCAATCTGGGATCCCTCGGGTGATGTCAGAGAGCCGGTTTCAGCCTGATCCCTCAGGCCAGGCTGACGGACACCACTGGTGCATGAATTTGTGCACCGGGCCTCTAGTCAACAATAAAGATAAATTAGAAAGAAATAAAAGATTCTTTCCAAATTCTTAACTACATATTCTTTGAAAATATATCCAGCCTATTGAAAATGAAGCATTTCTTGTTAAGCTGTTAAGAAATTCTTTTCCTTCCTAATGTTGAGTTAAACTACCTACTGGTTAGATTAATTAGAATGTGGTGAAAGCAGTAATGACTATAGTTATACGGATCATCTTGATGGGCTAATATATTCATGACGTTTTTTTGGATTATAAAACAAAAAAGATCATGTGCACAAGAAAGATCATTATTTTCTCTTCTTCAGTTACTGGTCTACCTCTGTCAGTGGCTTCCTTGTCAGTAGCTTTCTGTCTGATTCTAAATGGTCTCTAACATCACTTTCATCATCATGCATTTTTGTATCTTTGGCAACACTTACAGTTTCACTTTTTAGTCAACTGTCTGACAAAGACATTGGTGTGAGAAGGCAAAGATAGCCACTGGTGCTAAGCTGGGAGAGAGGTGTGAGTAAGGGTTAGTTTTATATAAGGTCAGTTTATTAGTATACTTTATTATGTTATGTTTGTTTGTTTTTCATTGCTAGGAAGTGTTATCACTACTAGCTCTGGAAATTAAATGCTTGGATAAAGAGGAGCTCTTGTATTTAACACTAGGTAGACAAAGTCCTCAGCAAATGTTTTTTTATAGTTTTGTTTCTCTGGTCAGGAGAGCCCAGGGCTATTGTAGACACTTGATCCTGAAAGCTAAAGCTAGATTTAGGAAACTTAGGCTAGTTTCTCTTCTGCTAAAAGTCTTTTATAAGCTTGATTAGCTTTTGGTTAAATGGGGGAAAACTATTTGAAAATGTCTAGTTATTGTATTTGGCTCTTAGTATAAGCTTTTGGGGAAAATTGTCAACTTTATACTTGAGAGGTAAGTAACATGAGCGTTCTTAGAATGTTGGAGCTCCTATGGCAGTACAAATACTTTGTGTAAATTTTTTAATTTCTATTTTTTATTGGGACAATGTTTCTTAAAATCTCAAGAGAAATTTATAACACAACACTGAGCCTAAATGCATCTCTCAGCGGTTTTTTCTATAATGTGGTTGCTATCACTGGCAAATATCAAGGGAATAACAAAGTTGTTCAGTTAGAATCACTGCTTCACAGCTTCCGATAGCTATGGTGGGAACATATAACAGGTTGCAATATATCAATATCTTCAGGAACCCATTGAGACTTTTTACTTTATGAATTCAAACCGTCGGCATTGTCTGGATAATATCCATGAAGGAATTAACTTTGCTTTGTTAACAATACAGATTTACTAGAAGCACTGACATTTCATAAAAACTTTTGGCTTCTTTTTCAACATGTATTTACAGCACCCAAATTTTTTCCTGTTAGATAATGGAACTTGGACCCAACTTTGGCTTGTCTTGGAATATCATGAACAGGGCTCCTTGTATGACTATTTGAATAGAAATATAGTGACCGTGGCTGGGATGATCAGACTGGCACTTTCCATAGCTAGTGGTCTGGCCCACCTTCATATGGAGATTGTTGGTACACAAGGTAGGTATTTTATTTCTCAGTTTTTCTCCTTAAATATGAAGATAGGAACTAAGTTGTATTTTATTTATTTATTTTTGTTAATCATCACCCCAGAATATTTTTCCCATTGATTTTTTTTTTTTAGAGTGAGTAGGATGGAAAAGGGGGGGAGGAGAGAAACATTGATGTGAGAGAGACATATTGATTGGTTGACCCCCATATGCATCCCAACTGGGAACAGGGATCAAACCTGCAACACAGGTACATGTCCTTGACCAGGAATTGAACTGATGATCCTCCAGTCCACAGGCTGATGCTTTATCCACTGAGCCATACTGCTCATGGAGGAATACTACGTTGTATTTCAGAGTTTAGTTGTATTTTAATTTATTACAGTTATCAAATGTAAAGAAACACTAAAGGTACTTTATAAAGCTGAAAATATTGTCATGAGAGAACCAACTGTCATCTACACACTTGCCATTTTGTATACCATCCATAATATTTTTATTCCTAGTGACTCAATATTTGCTATTTAGCTTGTATATCTGAGAGATCTGGCTTTGATGTCAAAGGCTTCATATTCAGAAAAATACAAGTATTTTTTTTTACTTTTGATAGTTAAAATAATTAGAAAGGGTAATGTGATCTTGAAAAAATATCTATATATCATATACTTGAAGGTCAAGTAATATCCATTGTCTTTTCTATTTACTGAGTTAATAGAGAATTGGCTCTAGAAAGTTATTAGTTCCATTAGAGTACTGATTCTCCAATTTGGATTCATGATCCTTTTAATTTCTTAAAAATGATTTAGGACTCCCCAAAGTTTTTTTTTTTTTTTTTGCCTGTGAATTATAACACTAATATTTACTATATTAGAACTAAAATGGGGGAATTTAAAAATACTCATTTACCTAAAACAACAATAATGATTTAGCCAATGAAATATTAGCATTAATAACATAATTTTAAAAAATTCACACTTTTTTTTATAATGCAAAAACCAGTTTAGTAAAAATTATGGTTTTGTTTTACATTTCTGCAAATCTATTTAATATCTGTATTTTCATGCCTGTTCTTCATTCAATCTGCTCCAACATGTTGCTTTGGTTGAAGTATGGGAAGAAAAGGTGACATTGCACAGACATAGTTGGAAAACAGTCTCAAAGACCCCCAGGGTCTTCAGGCCACATTTGAGAACAGTTCATCTAGGATCGTAGACATTTGAAACTTGTTTTGCAAGAGAATATTTGCAATGTTTTCATGTGTACATAGCAATACTAATTCTTTCCCTATTCATTCATCAAACATATGAGAGGCTATTAAATGTGACCTAGTGATCTAAGCATTTGAGGAAATGGTAATGACTAAGACACAATCTCTGCCCTTATGCAGCTTATAGTCTAGTTGGAGAGGCAGATAATTAGACATGTATATGAATAAGTAAGACATATGAAATAGTGATAAGAACTATAAAGAAGGCAAAATGGGGTACTCTGATGCAGAATGGGTGGTCAGAAAAGCCTCTTTTAGGCGATATTTGAGCCAAGTCTTCCAAATAATTCCTTTTGGAGAGATTCCATCTTCAGTAATGACAAAAGTGAATATGCTTGCTCATCCTTCACAGGCAAACCTGCCATTGCTCATCGAGACATAAAATCAAAGAATATTTTGGTGAAAAAATGTGAAACTTGTGCCATAGCAGACTTTGGATTAGCTGTGAAGCACGATTCTATACTGAACACTATTGACATACCTCAGAATCCTAAAGTGGGAACCAAAAGGTAAGCCAACTTATTCTGGCAGCACACTAAGACTTACAACTGTCCCCTATGCAGGAATGTCTGGGATGTGTGTAGGGATGGGGGCAGAGGTCTGCATGGGAAATAATTAGACCCAAGAAAACAAAAAGTCTCCTCTGGGTCACTGAGAAATCAGTGGCACACTGGTTATAAAGCAAGGGGAGTTGGCATTTGGTCATACAGGTAGCCATTTGGTCAATGGAGAGGCTTGGTGAAGGAGATGACAGTATATTGTTTTTGGTGTGTCACATTCTGAGAACATATTTTCCTATAGAAAAGAGGAAAACAATGTCAGTAGTGTGCATCTCCTCCAAAGCCTTTATACCTCACAAATGAACTGAAACTCAGGGCTAGTTCTACATGCTCAGATTCTAAACAACAGAAAGGAATCAATATAGTGGGCTAGAGAGGTGAGGACTGCGCATAATGCTTACATATATGCACTATTGTGTTCTCTCAATATTTGAAAATATTCGGTGACAACTTCTGCATTTACCCGTAGTTGTATTTAACCTTAAGTCTCCCAAACTGATGATGAGTTCCGACATAGTTTCCACATTCAAGGAACAGAATCTCTGAAAGTTAAGAGCAAGCATGATATTAACGCGTATTCCACACACGTTCAGGACGGCCCCATTTGAAGTGGGACGTCTGGTGTTTTCTTGTTGTGGCCCTGGGGCCAGCATGCTCCATTTCCTTTTATTTGTATTTCAGGCTCTGTGCCCGTTTGGCATCATCCCAGGTTTCTTGACCTTGAAATGAGAAACAACCCAAACATTTCCTGGAGTTGTTAAAGGCCCTGGAGAAAGGAGAATTTCTAAGCTGGCAGAGTCGGCCTCCAAGCCATAATTGACAGTCCAGGCCAGTCCCTCTGAGTCCTCCACTTGGTTCCTGGGAGACTTTAATGAGGCCCCAGAAACACTTCAGGACAGTTTATTCAGACCGGGCAGCCCTATGGGGCTTCCTTTCCCTATAAAAAGCAAGCTTTGACTTTTGCCCATCAAACTGTCCCCACATTAGGGATTGTCAGGGGAGCCTTGGCTGCCAGATTCCCTGGGATCTAAAACTTTTAAAAGAGTTAGGGAGTGTGTTGCATCCTCACATGAAAACTCTGAGAAGTTCTCAAAATCTCCCTCGGACAACTCGCGAGGCTCAGTCAGGTTTCAGCAATTGTAAATTATTTTGGTTTAGTCCTGTTAAGATAAGACTGTAATTTTGTTGGAGTCGATATAAAATGTATGTTTCTTGGAGCCAGTGTATCTATTCAGAACAGATATTTCTGGGCCACTGCTGAGCTCTGTGTTGGAGGACTGGGCCCACCACGAATAAACCTACTCTTTGCCCTCAAGGAGCTTTCCTTGGCAAGGAGCTACTGGTGGAAATTGAGTTTCGTCTCTCCTAGTAAGTGCTGTGCTTACTGAATCCCCTCTGGCTTGTGCTTTCCAAACATTTGGCTCCTGGCACACATGCTTCAATACTGAGGGTGATAACCCCTTGTTCTATTAAAAATATGTTTTAAATGATGGTCGAGTCAATAACTGTATTATTTAATTTTATTCTGTTATAGTATAGTGGTTTAGGTCCACTTGTAAAACTGATGTAAGCGATCTTCACTTATATTTTGCATCCTGTTTTAGTAAGATTATGCTTTACTGGACTACTTTAAAACCATACACAGAATCTGACATGTGCATGTTTTAAAGGTATATGGCCCCTGAAATGCTTGATGATACAATGAATGTGAATATCTTTGAGTCCTTCAAACGCGCTGACATATATTCTGTTGGTCTGGTTTACTGGGAAATAGCCCGAAGGTGTTCAGTTGGAGGTAAGATATTGGGCATATTCTTTGTGTCTGTTTTTATTTGATGTTCTGAATACAATATGTGGATTTTTTTTTCCTAAGCACTATATTAAATGATTTCTTACTAGTTAAGAGAATACCTATTGGCATATATTTTAAGTGGCAAAAGTAGAGTGTACTGCACATAATGGGAGACTTTATATTATTACTAGAGGCTCGGTGCATGAAATTTGTTCATGGGGGTGGGGGAACAGATCCCCTCAGCCCAGCCTGCATCCTCTCCAATCCGGGACCCCTCAGGGGATGTCCAACTACATCTCTCTCACAATCCAGGACCATTGGCTCCTAACTGCTCACCTGCCTGCCTGATTGCCCCTAACTGCCCCTCCCACCCCCCGCCAGTCTGATCACCCTTAACCACCACTGCCTGCCAGCCTGATCACCCCTAATTCCCCCATCCCTTGCTGGCCTGGTCTCCTCTTACTGCCCCCTCCAGCTGTCCTGTTCACCTCCAAACTGCCCTGCCTGCCAGCCTGGCTGCTCCTAACTGCCCTTCCCCCCCTGGTCTGGTCACCCCTTTCTGCCCCCCTGCTGTCCTGGTCACCTCCTACTGTCCCCCATGCCAATGCCAGCCAGGTCACCCCTCATTTTCTACTCCCCCCTCCCCGCTGGCCTGGTCACCCCAACTGCTCCTCTGCCAGCCTGTTTGCCCCCAACTACTCCTCCTGCCAGATTGGTTGCCCCCAATTGCCCATCTGCCAGCTGGGTAACCCCAACCGCCCCTCCCCCCACCGATCTGGTCACCCCCAACTGTCCCCCTGCCGGCCTGGTCACCCCACGCATGCTGCTGTTCAGTCGTTTGGTTGTCTCTCACTAACCCCCTGCTTGCCTGGTCACCTCATGCAGACTGTTGTTCAGTTGTTGGTTGTTTCTTACTAACCCCCCTGTCAGCCTTGTCAACCCACGCAGCACGTGTTCGATCGTCCATCCGGTTGTTTGGGTTGTTTCGGTTGTGACAGCCCTGGCTTTTTATATATTAGGATTATGGCTTATGTGGGGGTGACAGTTCTCCTGATAATTCTGACTTTCATAATGATACTTAGTGAAGCACTTGAAAATTTTACTTGAGCTTGTATGCCATTAGCTATATCCCTATTTTATACCAGAAATGAAATCCCAAGAAGTGAAATAGCTTTCTAAAGCCACAGGACTTGAACTGAAGTCTTCTGATTCTCAGACTTTTCTTGTTCTTTTCTTTCCTGTGATGAGAAATGTGTGGGGTATCAAGTGGAGGTTGGAGGAGAGCCAAGACTAACTTCCTGATTCTACTGCTCCTAGCAGTTTAGAGATGAATAATGAGAAGAAGAATTTGAGAGAATGAAACCCTACAATGCAATCTGATGGTACTCTTTCATCAGTGGGAGAAAATAAATACTGGGATTAAATAATTTAGAGTTTTTTCTTTCAAGTGAGATAGATTAAGGGCTAAATCCTTGATTTAACAACTTCCTCAACATCTGACTTCAGGCAAGTTACTTGGTATCACTTTCCCCAAGTGAAATGAAGAAAAGATAAAACAGACCTCACTGGCTTTGAGGATGTAATGGATTAATTCAATTAATTCAGGTGAAGCTTTTAGCACAGAGCAAACTCAGATAAACATTCAATGAAAGAGCTGTCCTTATTTAATTATTATAAACTTTTTGTATTTTGTATTGGTCTCATTTTACCTTACATCTATCTAATTTTTTTTAAAAAGAAAAACTTAAAATTGTGTTTGAATGAGGAAACATACTTTCCCCCTGTATTCACTGATGAGATAAAAAAAAAACATTCAGAAAGAAGGAACTACCCTGTTTTTCCCAAAATAAGACAGTGTCTTATATTAATTTTTGCTCCCAAAGATGCGCTAGGTCTTATTTTCAGGGGATGTCTTATTTTTCCATGAAGAAGAATACGGTACACATTTATTGTTAAATGAAAATAAAGGAAATTTATCACCTGTATATGGTACGGTAGTATGGTAGTTGTCACCACAAACCAGACAAACTGTGAATTCTACAGTATCAAGAATTTACTCATTTATTCAATGACAATCATGTCATCATCTTCTGGAACATCATCATAACAATCCAATTCCTGAATTTCCTGGTGAATTTCTTGTGACTCCATTTCTTTCAGAATCAGTGGACCAAATCTCTCATGTTTAGCAATAGCACTGTCTTTAAATGAGTACCTCTTGTCAAGGTAGCCTGCTTGCAGTGCATTTGCAATGCAACTGTCAGTGATTTTCTCCCATGAATTCTTCACCCAAGTCAAGTCACAACTTCTTGCAGTTTAGGTTTCACAAAGTTTCCATGTTGATTTCTCTCCATTTTATTTTCAATGTAGTCACTAATTTCCTTACGCAAATTGTCTTTGAGTGGCTTGTTTATTGCAATATCAAGAGTCTGGAGATAGGCCGTCATTCCTGTGGGAATCATTATCTGATCTATTTTTCTTTCATGAAGAAATGTCTTCATGTCTTTAGCGTGGTGAGTGCTGGCTGCATCCCAGACAAGCAGACCTCTTTGGCTCCCTCGCATAACAAGTGGCAGCATTAAATCGACCCACTTCCTTATAACTGCTTGTGTGGCCCAGGCTTTTTCAGTTTCAAAAATAAAAATGCCCAAAACACATTCAATCTTTTTCTTCTTGCCCTTAGAAATGATTAAAGGTGGGATTTTAGTGCCATCCAGACAAATTGCCAAAATACAGGAAATGCGTGCACTTTTGTAAGCAGTGGAGGGAATGCAGCCTAGGGGGGCCTTATTTTCAGGGGGATGCCTTATATTTCACTCAGAAGGAAACCTGTAAGTAGGTCTTATTTTCTGAGGATGTCTTATTTTCGGGGAAACATGGGTATTTCTAGAAGCAATATAAATACAGTAATATAGAACATGGACACTGGAAACCCTGAGCCTGGGGCTGAGTTCCAGATCTGCCACAGATAGCTGTGTGGCCTTCAGCAATATCACAACTCTCTTTGTGCCTCAGTTTCCTTGTTCTGTAAAATAGAAATAATATAGTACTTTCTTTAGTCAGTGGTTTTGGGGAATGATTAGTTAAAACATCTAAAGGGCTTAGAACCATGCTTGTTAAATATCAAGATTCAAACATATTTGCCATTATTTATATTGATATTTGTCTAGCTTTGCTTTTTTGGTTTTTGTCCTTAAATTTTCTTTAACTGTCAGAATAGTAATGTATTATTAACATGTTTTGAAGTTCATTTTCCAATATTATGACACATCTTAAATGTTTTTTTTTTCTTTTTTTAAATTAATTTTTATTGTTCATATTATTACAAATGTTCCTCTTACCCCCCCCCCCCATTGCTCCCCTCCACAAGGTTCCCACCCCACCCTCTGCCCTTTCCCCACCTCCCATCATCCTCATCCATAGGTGCACAGTTTATGTTCAGTCTCTTCCCACATCCTCCTCTCCCCTTTTCCCCAAGAATCGTCAGTTCACTCCCCTTCCATACCTATGATTTTATTATATTCAACAGTTAATATTGTTTATCAGTTTTTTTTTAATTTCCTTGGTTTTTAGATTCACTTGTTGATAGTTACGTATTTGTTGTTCATAATTTTTATCTTTATTTACTTTCTCTTCCAAAGAACCCCCTTCAGCAATTCATATAATTCTGGTTTGGTGGTGATGAACTCCTTTAGCTTTTTTTAATTAGTGAAGCTCTTTATCTGGCCTTCGATTCTGAGTACTGAAGGACCCTGAGGACCCTCAGTATTCCTCAGGGGTCCTTCAGTACTCACTGCAAGAACCTCAGAGAAGGGATGGTTCGATCCCGCGGCACAGCCAACCGTCCCTTCTTTGCTGGGTAGATTATTTTTGGCTGTAGGTTCTTACTATTCATCACCTTGAATATTTCTTGCCATTCCCATCTGGCCTGCATGGTTTCTGTTGAGAAATCAGCTGACAATCGTATAGGTGCTCCTTTATAGGTAACTACCAGCTTTGCTCTTGCTGTTTTTAATATTCTCTCTTTGTCTTTTGCTCTTGGAATTTTAATTATGATTTGTCTTGGTGTGGTATTCTTTGGATTCCTTTTGTTTGGAGTTCTGTGTGCTTCCTGGACTTGTAAGTCTAATTCTTTCACCAGGTGGGGGAAGTTTTCTGTCACTATTTCTTTTAGTATGTTTTCGATATCTTGCTCTCTTTCATCTTCTGGGACCCCCATAATTCTGATGTTGGTTCGCTTGAAGTTGTCCCAGAGGTTTCTTACATTATCTTCAATTTTCTGGATTCTCTTGCCTTATTGCTTCTGCGGAGGAGTGTCTTCTCGCTCTTTATGTTCCAAATCTTTGACTTGATTTTTGCGATCTTCCATTCTGTTTTTAGGACTTTGTATAATATTTTTTATTTCAGACAATGTATTCTTTATTTCTTGTTGATCCCTTATTATTTCTTGTTGATTCCTTATTAATTCTAGTTGATCCCTTTTCATATCCTCATAGGTCTTATCGACCTTTTCTAGTAAATTCTTGAAAAACCTTATAAGCATAGATTTGAACTCTATATCTTGTCGCTTTTTATCCTTCATTTCTTTCCTTTGTGATCTATTTCGTTGTCTCGGCATTTTCACAGCTTCCCTGATGGGGCGGAGTTTCAGGGTGGAGCCTACAGCCTTGGCTTCCCTCAGCCACACTCTATGCAGCTCCTGAGTCTCAGTATTCCTCAGGGTCCTTCAGTACTCACTGAAAGCACCTCTGAGAGAAAGGTGCCCTCGATTTTTGCCTGCTATCAAACAGTCTAGGCTCTCCCCCATTGAGCCCAGAACTAGGGTTCAGTTCATTTGGAAGTGGAGTTGGAGATGGTGTCAGAGCAGTCTGGAGCTTTTTTCTCCTTCCCGCCAGGGCAATCCCACAGCACAGCCAACCGTCCCTTCTCTGCACACAATGTGCGCGCCTCCAGGACCTCCTTTCGCCGCTCCCCCAGGGTTCCACCTTACAGCCCAGCTCTCTCTGTTTGAGTCTGGGACCCCGGGGTCTGGCCTAGAACTGGGGTTCAGAGCAGTCAGAACTGGGGCCCAGCACAGTCCGGAGCCTTTGTCTCCTTCCTGCTAAGGCAATCTAGCAGCAGTGTCAACAGTTGCGCGCCTCCGTGGGCTCTGCCTTTCGCTGTTCCCCTGGGATTCCGCCACACAGTCCTGGCTCCCTCTGTTTGAGCCTGGGTCCCCAGGGTCTGGCCTAGAACTGAGGCTCAGCACCACTGGGTCTGGAGTTCAGCACAGTCGGAGCTTTTATCTCCTTCCCACTAGGGAACACCAGCAGGCACTCAGCCGCCCCTCCTCTATGGCTCCATCCTCTCCGCGCGCGCCGTGTGTCTCCGTACCTTGGGCTTTTATAGCTCCTATGCTCTTCCTTCTGGTTTTCTCCTTGCTTCTCATTGTAGAATTTCCAGTCAGTCGACTTTCCTGTAGTTCTGAGTAATGTCCATTTTATATTTTAGTTGTATTTTATTGAAATTGTTGTGTGCGGCTGCAGCTAGGTGTTTACCTATTCAGCCATCTTGGATTCTCCCCCACATCTTAAATGTTTTAAATTAAAAGGATTGTGGTTAATTCAAATTATTTTATTAGGAAATTCTTGAATTCAAGTACTAATCTGGTAATTAAGGTTTAGTTTTTGTCGAAGTATTTGAGACTCTTTACATATTAACCTCCATGTTAAACTATCCATCTTCAAATACTTTGGTTGCTTCTTTGGAACATTCTTAGTTATAGAAGTTCTAAAATTCAAATGTAACAAATTCAGCTCTCAAAAGATTGCCTAACAATTAAAAAAAAAAGATAGCTTTTTTATTTTGAAAAAGTTATTTAATAGTGAAATATACTTCAGTCATAGCAATAAGGCCATGCTATAAATTTTATAATTAGGTGTTATTTTTTTTCTGAATTGCACAGTGGAATGATATGTAAATAAAAATTTATATGCTTTTTACCGAAACCAGTTTGGCTCAATGGATAGAGCGTCGGTTTGGGGACTGAAAGGTCCCGGGTTCGATTCCGGTCAAGGGCATGTACCTTGGTTGCGGGCATATCCCCAGTAGGAGGTGTGCAAGAGGCAGCTGATCTATGACTCTCTCTCATCGATGTTTCTAACTCTTTATCTCTCTCCCTTCCTCTCTGTACAAAATCAGTAAAGTATATTTTTAAAAAATTTATATGCTTTTCATATTATAAATTATATGGACACAGACAATAGTGTGGTGAGGGCCAAGGAAGGAGAGTGGGGGTTGGGTGCAGGTGGGCAGAAGGGTGGAAATGGTGGACATCTGCAATAGTGACAACAACAAAAATTTAAATAAATACTATTCAACTGTATATAATAGCTATTCAACTGAACACTTTAAACTTATATATTTAATTTAAAAAATATTTTTATTGATTTCAGAAAACAAAGGAGAGAGAGAGAAAGAAATATCAATGATGAGAGAGAATCATCGATTGGCTGCCTCCTACATGCCCCATCCTGGGGATCGAGCCCGCAACCGGGGCCTGTGCCCTGACCGGGAATCGAGCTGTGACCTCCTGGTTCATGGGTTGACACTCAACCACTGAGCCATGCCAGCTTATATATTTAATTTTATAGTGGTGCATAATTTTAATAGACCTGACTTTCTAGTTTTCCATGGTACCATTCCATGGTGCCTGGAAGACTTAATTGATAAATTATTTCAAAGTAAGCATCTTTGTTTATTATTCACACTGGGAAATTTAATGTGCAAATTTCTTATAGGAATTGTTGAGGAATACCAGTTGCCTTATTATGACATGGTGCCTTCAGATCCCTCAATGGAGGAAATGCGGAAGGTAGTTTGTGATCAGAAGTTTCGACCAAGCATCCCAAACCAGTGGCAAAGCTGTGAAGTAAGGCTAAAATCTTATGTATATTTTTCCTATTGTAATTGTGAGGTAAGTATCAGGGAGGATTTTCACAGACCACATAGTTCTTCTCTTTCAATCTAGGCATCTAATTCATTTCATATATGTAGGTATATATCTTTGATGTTACTCCCTTTAATTGTAGTATATACACCTAATGCTAAGTTATGGGGCAGTAACAAATTGAGATTAGGCAACTTTCAACAACATCTGTGCTCCCTGTGGTGATTCAGAAATCTTTGATCTTGGGATGCTATCTCAATGCATAATATTTAGGTGTCTAGGCCACAAAAAGAGAGGCGCTAGAAAGTCACACACTGGCTCTTCAATGATTTGGCTCCAGCAACTCACTTCCCTTCCACTCCCGGTTCCTAGACCAGAACTGGTCTCCTGGTCCCATCTAACAGCAAGGGGCCAGGAACTGTGGGGAGAAAGACATATGGGGGATACTCAATGTCTATGCCACACAGAGTATTACAATTCAGTCATCCTTTTATTCAGTATATTATCCCTAATCCCAAACCCTGCAGAATCTTGAGTTTATTCTCTTTCCTCAGAAAAGCTTCCTTTTCTTAATCCCCAACAACACATGTACAGTAAGTGTTTATTTCAATGCTTACACTGCCTTACCTGAAGATACTTTTCTGGCATATATATATATATATTTCAGAAAATTCAGAAATATATATATATATATATATATATATATATATATATATATATATATGAGTGGCCAGATTATTATGCATTCAGAGATCATAATAATCTGGCCACTCTGTATATTGTTGATATGTATATTTTTTAAATCTATTTTTGCCCAGCATTTTAGTTCTACCTTATTTTGTTTTTACCCCATGTATTATATATTGGTGTGATTTTATACCATTATTATTTATTTAGACTTATGAACATGTTTATAATTTTTTTGTTCAACATTCCTTCTTGGTTCTTAGAGCTTTCTCTAAAGATCATTTTCTTACTTTCTAATGTGGATCCTTTAACCATATTTTATTTAAGTTGTTTTTTGTTAGTGAGGATCTACTGGTTGTAAGCTCTTTCAGCATTTGGATGTCTGAGAAAGTATTTTGTCCACAATCTTAAACAAATAGTTTATCTGAGCATAAAAATTTAGGTTCAGAATTGTTTTCCCTAAGCACTTTAAAGTTATTATTTCACTGTCTTCTGGCTTCCTTTATTGGTATTGAGAAGGTATCTAATTTGTATCTCTTTTGAGTTAATTTTTATTTTCTTCCTGACTATTTTAGTATTCTGCAGTTTCCTTATGGTGCATTTGGTGTTGATGTCTCTTGATTAGTCTTGGTTGGAATTTTTGGACTTTCTCATTCTGAAGATTTGTAACTTTCCTTGATTCTGCAAAATTCTGAGCCATTATCTCTTCAAATAATTTCTCCTCTCATCGTCTCTATTACTTCTTTTTAGAAAACTCATTAGTACATGTTAGACCTTTTATTTTACTTTGCTATTTTCTTATTCTCCCCTATTTTCCATATTTGTGTCTTCATACAGCAACTCTCACATTTATCTTCCAGATCATTAATTCTGTCTTAAGATGTATCAAATTTGCCATTTAACTCACCCATTTAGTTATTTTTCTTTAATTGTTTTTGGAGAGAGAGAGAGAAAGAGAGAGAGAGAGAGAGAAAGAGAGAGAGAGAGAGAGGAGAGAGACATTGATTGGTTGCCTCCCACATGTGCCCCAACCAGGGATTAAATCCTAAACCCTTTGGTGAATAGATGATGCTCCAACTAACTAAGCCACAGTGGCCAGGGCTTAATGGTTATATTTTGTATGTCAATAAGTTTTATTGAGACTTTTCTTTTTAATTATCTATGCTCTTATTTTATACTTATAGTTTGAGTTTTTTATTTGCTTGAAGCAAATTATTTTATATATTTACTAGAGGCCCGGTGCAGGAAATTCGTGCATGGGGGATGGATGGGGTGGTAGTGTCCCTCAGCCCAGCCTGCACCCTCTCCAATCTGGGATCCCTCGAGGGATGTCTGACTGCCCATTTAGGGGATCGGGCCTAAACGGGCAGTCGGACATCTCTCTCACAATCCAGGACTGCTGGCTCCCATCTGCTAGCCTGCCTGCCTTCCTGATTGCCCCTAACTGCTTCTGCCTGCCAGCCTGTTCACCCCTAACCATTCCCTTGCCAGCCTGATTGATGTCTAACTGCTCCCCTACCAGCCTGTTTGCCCCCAACTTCCCTCCTCTGCTGGCCTGGTCACCCCTAACTGCCCTCCCTTGCTTGCCTGATCACCCACAACTGCCCTCCCTTGCAGGCCTGGTCCCTTCCAACTGCCCTCTCCTGCTGGCCATCTTGTGGTGGCCATCTTATGTTCACATGGGGGCAGGATCTTTGACCACATGGGAGCAGCCATCTTGTGTGTTGGAACAATGGTCAATCTACATATTACTCTTTTATTGGATAGGATAAAGGCCTGGTGCACCAGGGTGGGGGCCAGCTGGTTTGCCTTGAAAGGTGTCCTGGATCAGGGTGGGGGTTCCCTTGGGGCATGGGGCAGCCTGAGCGAGGGACCTATGGTGGTTTGCAGGCTGGCCATGCCCTCCGGCAACCCAAGTGGAGGCCCTGGTATCTGGAATTTATTTATCTTCTACAATTGAAACTTTGTAGCCTGGAGTGGAGCCAAGCCTTCTGCTTGCTCAGTGGCTGCTGCCATTTCTGTTTAGATTTGTTTACCTCCTATAATTGAAACTTTGTAGCCTTGAGTGGAGGCTTTGGCTGGCTAGGGCAGGTGAAAAGCTTGGCTTCCTCCATTACCTGGGAAACCCAAGCCTCCCTCCTGCTCTCTGTGGCCGTAGCCATCATAGTTGGGGTTAATTTGCATACTCACTCTGATTGGCTGGTGGGCATGGCTGGTGGGCATGGCTTGTGGGTATAGTGGAGGTATGGCCAATTTGCATATTACTCTTTTATTAAATAATATTTTACATGTTATATCATTTAGTTCTAGCATCTAATGTTTTGATGGGTCTCATTTTACTGCATCTTGTTTGAAATGACTCTTGCTTATGTAACATTATTTCCTCATCTGCTTGTGAATTTTCATTATGAGCTCAAGCTTACTGCAACAGTTTAAGACTTGGGTTTGATTTAAAACAAAAACAAAAATGAAAGCTAAGAATTAGACAATTTTCTTTACAAAATTCCTTTTAAGTCTGATTTGATTTATCCTTACACTCAGAACTTTGCAAACATCTTGCTCTGACACCTTCTGGGTGCTTCAGGCTGTGTTTCCTCTTTCACATGTGGTCCATCAGTTCTGAAATTCTGCAGTGAGTTCAGCAGATGCTACCAGAACAGCCACTAGGCTTTAGTGACTTCTTATATCTCTCTGGATTCATGCAGTCTCTTTATCTTCTACTTGGAGTATTTATTTTACTTATTTACCAATTCACTTAAACTGATTTACTAAATTCAGAATTTTCAGTATTTCTATTTAGATCATTATTTCATTGTGGCATAATTTACATATGCACAAATCTTGATATATAATTTGGTGAAGTTTTAAAAAATGTATGCATGTGTGTGCTTACCATCCAGATAAATATATTATATGCTAAATTTCTAAGTCATCCCATTTCCTTTTTTTTTTTTTTCATGTCCCTTCTTAGAATATTTTAAACGATAGACATTCTACTGTATCCCCAGGAATCAATAGATGAATTTTCAATAAAAAGTTAGCCTCTGCCCTAACTGATTTGGCTAAGTGGATAGAGCATCAGCCTGTGGACTAAAGGGTCTCAGGTTCAATTCCGGTCAAGGGTGTATGCCAGGGTTGTGCATTCAATCACCGGTGAGGGGCTTGCAGGAGGCAGACAATCAATGATTCTCATCATTGATGTTTTTCCCTCTCCCTCTCCCTTCCTCTCTAAAATCAATAAAAATATATTTAAAATAATAGCCTCTGTAAGGTAAATACACATGTGTGTGTGTTGACAGGATTTTTGAAGAGGTTTGGTCCTAATCTCCTTTTCATATTATTTTTTTATTTATTATTTGTTCATAAGAGCTTAGCTTCAATTTCTGGGTTTGTTGTTTTGCTTCTTATGTACGTGTTTTGTGTGAGTAAAGTCTTTGATGTCTTTCTCTCTTAAAGGCACTCCGAGTCATGGGGAGAATAATGCGAGAATGTTGGTATGCCAATGGGGCAGCCCGCCTCACTGCCCTTCGTATTAAGAAGACTATTTCTCAACTTTGTGTCAAAGAAGACTGCAAATCCCAACGATGATAATCATGTTGAAAATCTCTCGCAGTTTTTTCCCCCCTCATTTTCCCTCTTTATGTGAATGTGTTTGGCCTTTGTTGTTGTTGTCTACCTCAATGATAATGCAGTACAGTATTTAAGTGTGCAAAGGCAGCATGAAAAAAAAATAACTCACATCAAGCAGAAGTTGACTTTATCCAATCTTCATGTTTAATTTTATTTTGAAAAGTAAATGTATCAGCTCATGTATTTAATAAGAAAGATACTGTAAAGGTGTAAAATAAGCTATGTAAAATAATAAGCATCCTTAAGGTTTTATTTTACTTGAACCAAAAGTGCATGAATGAATGGAAAAATAATGTGTTGAAAAAAAAGTGAGATAAAACATTCATTAAAAATGTGAACTAGATTATGTTACATCTAATCAAAATGTAACATCATGCAGTCTATGGTGTTCTCCATTTTTTAAATTAAACAGGATCTTAAAAAAAATAAATGTTGCTCCAAATTCTGAATATAAAACATGGAAAGGTGGAGCTCCTCAGTTGGAAGGTGGAAGTGAGGTCTAGGTCCCAGTTACTTGGTCCCCAAACCCCACCTTTCCCTACACTTCATAATCCATCACCACAGCAGCCCCTGAAGCAAACAGTTTGAAAGCCACTAAATTGTTACTTCCTCTTATTTACAAAAGAGATGCTTGACATTTGGAGACATGGAGAAATGTCTCAAAGTCACACCAGTAGAGGTAGAGCTGGCTCAAGTCTGAGCCTTGTGACGATCCATACTGTAGAGTTATCTAGCTTTTTACTACTCTTTTAATTCCAATGTTATTTTTCTTCCTGTGCCAAAACATCTTTCATGATGATATTTGTGGCTTAGTAACACAAGATAAATTGAGGGTTTTTTGTTTGTTCGTTTGTAGAATCATAATGGAACTACATGAATTCTTAGGACAATATCCATTGATGTTTTTTTTTTTTTTCATAGAGTTGTGATAGTCACCCTATTTGTTAGACAAGTATGAATGTTTTCTAAAAACTTGCATAGGTAAATCAAGCAAAGATCCATTTTCAGAAGATGTCTTCAAGATGCATTTCAGAGGTCCTTATTACTTTTGTGTATACACATTTAGGAAAAGAACAGAAAAGGAAGAGGAAACTAGGAAATATCTTGAAAAAAAACTAAGAAAACCTTAAATGAAGTATAACAACCAAATTCTACAGAGGGCATCAGTGAGTATAAATAGACATTTCTTGCCCTTTCAAAATGAGTAAGTGGGTGCAGAGGAAGGCTCATGATAATATTGCCTGTATTCTACTTCCTATGGAGATAGAAGTGATGAATTCTGAAAAATACATAGAACATGAAATATTTCCTACAAATCTACAATTCTGTTTTCATGAAGGAGTTCAATATTGTATCTTCTATTGTTCTAAAATGTTATTTTCTAAACTCTGTTTCTTAGAACACTCTTCTACTGAGATGATCCAAGACCAAAAGGATTATTTGATAGATTCTTAGAATGTGACACCCCACATTAGTGTGTTGTGTGCGTTGATGGGTCTAGCAGGAAAGAAATGCTACTTGGATTTCCCTAATTATTTGACCATGGAACCCTTTTATTAAGAGGAATGGAAACCTTTTACTACCCCACTTTTCAATGTTCTACAAAGCACAATTTTGGTAATAGTGTTCTGAAAAATACACATTTTTCCCCCCATATAGATCGAACTGCAGTGCTTATAATTTACTTATCTGTGGACATGTGTTACTGAACCCTTCTTCATTTGACTGGGATGATATATCAAAGCCAAAAACCTTGAAGCTGTAGTTTGTATATACTTTTCATTCTTAGTCACCCATTCTTTAAATAATGTGGGGCACCCCATATCTTCCTTGCCACAATATTGGGCCCAATAGGGAAATTAAAAGATAGGTAGGTTCTGCCCTCAGGGATTTTAAACTCTAACTTGGGAATGGCAACAGACATGTAGGAGTGTGGGGGAAGAAAGCAAATTGGCAAATAAATATAACACAAAGTAGTATATTTTGAGTTCTATATGACAAATTAAGATGATTTGACTTCTGTATGACAAATTAGGATGTTTTGAGTTCTCTATGACAAGTTATTTTCAATTTGCAATACATTTAGAAACTTCTTTATTTGGCTATTCCAGACGATCTAAATAATATGTGATATTTTTAAAATTGCATATGTGAAGGATTTTTTTAAAAAGCTTATGTGAAGGGAGTAACTTTGCTTACGCTTGTTACCTTCATTTCTCATAGGTTGTTTCTGAATATATGAGAATGAAGTTACTTATTTACTATGGTTGTACTATAGTTTCAAATAAATGAGGATAACATTTTCTGTTTTACTCACTTATGTGGGGTGAATATACTTACTTAATTTTTAAGAAAGGCCGTTTTAATCTCTCCATTTTCCTATGTTTATAATTTATTTGAGTATGTCCAAATATAATTTCATGTTTTTATTGGTTCAACTTTCAATCCAGAGAAATTTGTACATTTTGAGATTTTTGTTTTGTTTTTATGTTGGTTAACTATAACTCCTAACTCAATAGTTTTATATTTTAGTTACCAAGTACAATATTTTTAAGAAAGGGGATAAATTAACAAAAACAATTAGAAAAATTAAATGTTCTAATTTTTCTTAATTATCAAAATTATAAACATAAAATGCTCACTTAAAAACAAGATAAAGTTTAAAACATTAAGCCAATTTACTGTATATATCTATGCTGTAAAACTTTATGTTTTTGTTTTTGATGGAGTCTTATTGTGTAATATTTATTTATTTTGAATTGTGTTAAAAACAAAAAGATATTGTTCTTTGACTCAAAGTGTCATTATTCTTTGCTCCTTTTAAATATTATGTCTTTGAGTATAATATAAAGCTTGGGAAAATTCTATTTATGAAATTTCAGTACTGTATAAAATAATGAAGGAATATATATATGTAGCATCACTTCGTTAAAATAAGGGAAACAATATTTGTTGACAATTATTTGAGCATGAATTTGTTATCTTATAATCTTTGCATGTAACTGGGTACAGATTTTGCCGTGTGCTTTCTTCTGTGTCTAACATATTTGGCATGTAACATAAAAAATTCTTAATTTTTGTTCTGACTTGAAAGTTAAGTGAAATATGACTGTGTCATGCACTATTTTAGGTGTAGCACTTGCTTTTCCTCCTTACACTTTCAGTTAACTTTGCATTTTTAATTTCATGATTGTATGAAAATAGTATCCTGATTGCAGTGTCTGAAGATTTAAAGATTGGGTTTTAATTTAAAATGAAGATCTTCAATAGATTCTTTAGAAGTCCAATAATAATTTAGTGCTGCTTTTACTTTAATAGAATGATTAAACAAAACAAAAGAAAACTGCTATGCTGGAATTTTACCACCATCTGACTTATTGCGGGCAGAGAGAACTCAGGGCTATCTTTGAGTTTACACAACAAGACGAGGGCACCTACTAGCAAATCATCTGAGAGCAGGGAGCCCACATTTGCCATTATTCAAAATCCAACGTAAAATTGCCTGGCAGGGAATAGTTTATGATTAATTATTTAAAATAAATATGGAAATGTATTTTGTTTAAATAAATGATTTTAAAATATGGATATTTTATTTCCCATCGGGAAGTTAAGTAAAAGTAGAGTATCAAATGAATACAGTTGATAGCAATTGATGTTTTCAGTATTCATTCCTTTAAAGAAATTTACAAATATGCCATTTTAATTTACTTGGAATGTTTGAGAATTCGTATCTTAAAATGTTATTGCTATGGACTTTGGAGATATCATTTCTTTTGGGAAACATACTACTTTTATGTGTGACAATGCTTTGTGTTAGTCCTCCATAAACTAAGACCTAATGTGGACTTTATGCGCTATTTAGTGAAGAGGATAATCTTTCTGCTCCTGAGGGCTTCTACTAAACAGAAAAAATGTCAGTTGGAAAATAAGAAAATTAATCCAAGAGCTAATTAAAAAAAATTTTATAATACAGGCAGTTTTATGAAAGATTTCAATGCAAATTTTCAGATATTTGACTTTTTTTTCTCTCTCTAGATTTTCTTTTACATTTCATTCTTTTTCTCACCTCCTTTTTCCCCTCACTGTCTTCCAAAATTAGGTTTAGTCTCTAATTTAAAAAAATAAAACAAAACAACAACACTAGTTATTATTTAATTTAATCATCTCAGTACTTATTCTAATGACATAATATATCGCTGGTCTAAATTATTACAGATGTGTCACAGACAAAAACAAAATCAACTTGGGAAACATAAAGGATGTAAAATATTTTATAATTCAATTCCCATATTTTATAGATGAAGAAACCAAGGATCAGAGATGCTATTTATTAGCAGAACTGATATCAGAACCCATGGGGCCAACCACCATGGTGCCCTATTATATCCAACTTTTATTAATGAAAAAATAATGAACATGCATCTAACCCTACCTTGAACGTGCCATCTGATGGTTATGATCAAATCCTACTCTTTATTCTGCTAAAATAATTTGCTCACTCATGGTGAGGTCAGTGAGAAAAACAAAAAAGAGCTAAGGAAGAGTTTTAAATAGCTAGGTAGTGCTGAATAAATTTTAGGAATTATGAGAAAATGGAGTTTCTTAATGCAAGTAATGATAAGAGATGCTTCATAATTCTTTTTCTCTCCTTTTTCTAGGATTGCTGTTTCTCTTTATGCATTAGAATGGGGGTAAAAGATGATTTGGTAGTTGAATTTGAGACAATGTTGATAGCATATTATCTTCTCTCCTACTTTCTCATTAGTTTAGTTTTGGCACTCATCTTTTTTGTTACATTAAAAATTTGTATTTCCTCAATTCTAAACAGTCTGTAATTCCTGTTCTAGTAGTTCTAGCCCCTGCCAGATCGCTACACACCAAACTTCTCCACAAGATTTTACTTTCCCACACCCACATGTGAGAGGTTGCGTCTCATGCTTTCTCTAGTAATGTTTCAC